CCCTGCAAATCATTTATAAAAAAGCATATGATCATAACATTTTCATGTAAAAATGTCCATGTCTCAGACCATTACAATTCCAACACAATATATCTCTCAAATAAAAACATAATGTGCAAAAATTTCTGTTCTCAGTGGTCACTATCAATTTCAGAAAAAACAAAATGTGTCAGTGCCTTCTTTGCTTGTGGGCTTTCCCTTGCTGACTTTAACTCTAAAGGCCTTGTTTTTAATTATTCACAGATTGGGAGTGGGGAATCTATATTTGCTACCTCATTTTTTAAGCATCAAAAATTTAAAACACTTAAAAGCAAATTTCTTGAGTAAAAATGTATAATTATTCAATGACTACAACAACATCCCTAAAGATCCCTAAAAGAAAATGAACTGTCAAGAACTCAAAAACTACTCTTGGTCCTAGAAGGTAGAAAATGAAATGCATTTCTCACTTCTCTAAAAAGGTGGGGGGACAGGTAGGACAGAATGTTCATAAAGTAACACTGGGAGAAAAAAATCACTGTATCAGGTGTTTCCACTTAATAATTTTTCTTTGTTACAAGGGAAGGTTTAATTCTGGTGGTGGCGAAGGATATTTCTACAAGGTATGATATATAAAATAAAAGGCCTCAACAAAACTTATTTTAAAAATACAATTATTTTAAGAATGAAATATACTTTTAAATGTAACAAGCCTATCACGATGTCTTTATGAGCAGAGTAAATTATTATAGAATACACATTCTGTCCCTAAATTAACAGACACAGACTTTGTAACAATAAAGGCTACTTCAAAAAGGACTGCAAATGCTTCGATCATTCAAAACATTTCTGTACTGCTCCACTTTTTTAACAGTTTCAGGAACATACATTACTATCTTAGCGTACACATATCTCTTGAATGTTAATGAAGGTATAGAAAAAAATGTGATTTAAACTAAGTCTATGTTCCATAAATTTGGGCGGGGGAGCTTGAACTGAAAGCACTAGCCTCTCTGGATATATCCACCATTGTGAACATAAGTGTAGTGAAGCCTTGGAGTACCAGAGCGCTTTAATCTGAATTTTCTTAAGTAAGGCTCTGATGGTTAATTTGAATATTCTCATTATCTAAAAATGCCTATATGACCAGACAGAAAGAATAACAAAGGTTTCAGACCAATCTCAGCTGAAGAGGTTTTACGAAGTAAACATCACAATGAAGCACAACGCATTCCCTTAAGTCCCAAGGGAACTCACAAACATTCTTTCACTTATTTCCCTGCATCAATGCCACAGTTCCATATAGAGAGGAGCATCACCTTTCTTAGGATGAGAATATCGAGACAAAACAACAAAGGACATTCCCAAGGTCAGAGGTAGAGGCAAACATTGAGTTTGGGTCTTCTACCTTCAACTCTAGAGTGCTTTGAACTTCCTGGATAAAAATATTAAAAAGTAAAGTGTAGACGACCATTTGACAACACTGTTTTTTCCTCTTCCATTTCCCTATGCAAGAAAGTCCCTGTATTCACTTCCATAATCTGTCTTAGTGACATCAACAATCCAATTAGCAAATGGACACCTCAGCAAAATATGAGGTTCTGAAATCATCCAGGACCACAAAGGAGAAAGAAATGTGTCTTCCCATGGTCTCCGGCAAGGCTTGCTAAGAAGCAGTCATTAGCTATAGCACTAAACTTGGACCACCTTACTAAAAAGTTCATTTCCACTCGACTTAGTTCCTGTCAGACTTTCCATTATACATTTTCTTCTCTCTGCCAGTAAAAAGTTGTATGAGGTTGCATTTTGGCAGGGTTGTTTTTACCCTGGGTGTGATTTCCATAAGCCGATTTGATTTAAATTAGTTTTGTCATCATTTAGTAAGAGAAGAACTAAAATGTCACTTTCTGTTTTTTTAAATCCCTATGATTTTCTTCTTTCCTTTTGCTCAAAACACTGGGTTAGTAAACACAACATGCTCAAGTTTATCTCAGGAAAGTTCACAATTGATTGATTCAGTAACTTTCTATTACCCCATTACTGCTTTTCATTAAAAATAGTTGGAGGATAAAAAGAGAGAATGATGGCTTTTGTTTGTCTGCTATAAGACTTACAAGTTGTATAAGTCACGTGACTAACACTATTACTGCTAAGAACTGGACAACTAAATCCTCAATAGAAATAAAAGACATTAAAAACTGAAATTATTAAGATCTGTCCAATATACTGTTATACCCCCTCCCCTTTAATGATAGTACCTGTTGCTTCCTTCTAATTCTCTGTAGCTTAAGAGTTCGAAAGTCCTTTGGCATGGGGTTACAGTACACATACATGCACATTAACAGAGCTATACTTTATATACTACTCATCCTAATATTGTCCACATGACTCACCGACACATAATTATGCCTTTGGTGAGTCTTAGAACCTGCCATCTAAACGTTCTCCACTTCAAGAACTCTGTAATGAAGGAAAAGGGAGGAAAGAAAAGTAAATCACTTCTCATCTATGAGAGCACCCTTTTCTCTTTCAGCGGTGACTCATTTTAACTATGATCTATTTCGACAAGAAGCCCAAAACACAAGGACTTCACTCTCTGTGCTTCACATAGCTGAGGGTTCAGTCCAGATTCACTGAATAAAAGGGCACAAGGCTGAATAATGTTTTAGAATATACCATATCTTGTTCCATTCTCCATTTCTGCAAAAATACAAATTCAAAATTCACCAACCAAAAAAAAAACCAGTTATGTCAACATATTATAACCCTCAGACTCTATTTCCTAAATCCAGAGGCTCCAAACTATTGCCGTGTCTTTGTCCCTAAGTAACCATATTATTCATGGTTACTGCTGAGACGATGCTATGGATGGTGATCGCTGATCCATGCAACACTTACACCCAGCAAGCAGAAATAAGAATGAAGGAATCTTCCACAGTTCAGAGTTGCTTTTCTGTCTAGTACATGAAGACCACCACATCATTACACTACAAGAAAAACACATTCCATCTCACTTACGTATTTAACATATATTGATTGCCTGGACACATATGTACACAAACTCCCATGTGTATACTCTCAAGACCAATATTCCAAACAACATACAATGAACTACCTTCACCCTTACCCTTCAGCCCCTCCCAGCTTTCCATCTCACCTTGTCCTTGAAAAAGGCACCACTGCAGTTTCACCAGAGGAAAGTGTTCCCTGCAAACCTACTGTATGTATTCCTATACATAAACAGTCAGACTCAAGCAGTCTGAATGATGATTTCACAAGTTAAGGGGCCTCTCGCTTAGTCAGCAGAGGAAATCTTTGTGTCTGTAAGGAATCACGCCAATTCCTATTAGTAAGAAAGGATGCAGGGGCAAGCACGCCTATTCTCTCATTGACCAACAAAAGGGGCCCAGTGAAAACACAGACCTATTCCATCACCATCTGCAAAAAGGAAGGATGTTGTCAACCTTCTTCTCCCCAAAACTTTAATGATCTCTGCCTTGACCCTCAGAAACCAGATACACAGGAATAGGACCTTCTACAGGAATTGAAAGCTTTACACTAGAGACACAGCATTAAGAGGCTTGTCACCCAAGCTATCTACCCCGAACATTTGCACTCACATTCCAAAGATGTTTCCGCTACACTGGAAGCGCTGTAAATTTCTTTCCTGCAGAATTCTTTCCAAACAAACTGCCATGAACTGCACTCTACAACATGTGCTGCATTAGTCCTTAACCAAGCCACAATTTATCTCATCTCCACAATCCTTTATGTGCAGAATATGACTGAACTGGGGGCGCAATGGAACAGGCAAAACTTGAAAAAGGAAACAGATGCACAGGGACAACCCTAATTCCACCTTTAGAGGTGTATTAGTGATAGATAATGAAGATAACTACATGGGCTTCATTCAATTCCTAGAACTAGTTTTTGTTTACAGTTTTCTGAGCTAAACGAAAGAAGTTGTTTTAAAAATTCAAGAACAAAATTTTCTATATCATTAAAGAAGATAGGTGATGAAGGAGTTCAAAAGAGCATGCATTCCCAATCTAACACAATAAGAACATGCATTCTGTTTGGAGGAATAATAACCCAGTGAAAGACCCTGAATATTAAAAAGGGTTATTAAATTCTTTGAAGTTTCCCAAAGTAACATATCTATGCACTAATAAAAATAAAAGTCTGTGCTTTTAAAAAATATGAAAGAGTTTTAAACATGTTATTAATACCAATGCTGAAATTAAAGAGAAAGCATCTTTCAAAAACTCAATTGTCTTAAAAAGAAAGCTTAGACTTTTGGCTATTGATAGTATTTTTAGAATCAGTCTCTCTCTGGAGAGTTAAAAGTATGCAAATGCAGAGTGCACAGAGGCACAAATACACACATGCTATACCTTTGTATTACATTGGCATTTTATTATTTAATTAAAGTCCTCTTATTTTTCTAGCTCACGCATGCTTCCCTTGAGACGGCTTTGCTGTTAGCCTGCTGGCCTTGACTTCCAGCCAAAAACAATTCAGAAACAAAAAGGGACAACAAATCATATTTTCACAGACATTTTTATCCCTCAATACAACCCTGTTTTCACACAACATCATACAGTCTCTACGAAAACTATAATTTATGGCAATAGCCACCAAAACCAGGGTCTGACACATGCTCCATGGTGTTGGGAGTTTCATCATTCTAGAAGTTGCCGAATTATGAAGAAATTGTTCCAATGGAACCCTTATAAAAAAAAGCATTACTAGTTTACAAACATCATCACTGGGACACTGAAGGGTGGCTCTAAATACAAATTCAAACCAGTGACTGAGTGTGAGAAGGTAGGACAAAAGCTGAGGTTACAGATTGAGAATAGAACGTGATTCATTACTTAGTATTTTAAAAGAAATAGTCACCCGCAAACATGCAATGAATAGCTGTGTCAAAATCTAAAATGCATAATCTACTTTACAAAACAAACTAATTTACCAGGCTATTTATCACAACCTCTCCCACTGCATAGATTATCACTTACCTGGTGGCAACCCTGTAAGTTTGATTCTCTCCCATAAGACGAGTATGAACCCCTTTCTGTTTTACCTGTCAACAGAAATTTAAAAAAAAAGGTGTGTAAATTTTTGTTTTCCTCTTTAAAAAAACCTCCTCCAGGTAACAGATATCTACTTTTCTCTTCCGATGTTTACATATGTAAAGTAGGCACTAACGGCAATGTATGCAAGCAAGAGAAAGGGATTAACACTTCTTCACTCTGGATATGATAAACTGGAAAAAAATATCCTTCATTCCTATTCTTAGCCAAACTGCTCCACACTTCCAAAAACTGTCATTTCAATGGCCTCCAATTTTTCTAACAAACAAATTGACATTCCTTATTTTCGCTTTCATTCTCTCCCTCAAATTTTAAACAATTTCATTTTTATTTACACAGCAGGCAAACTATCCATGTAATGACCCTAGCATAGTAATTCCCATTGATTATATTGACACTTAATGGTGAGGCCAAAGCTAATCAATCACAGGCTCTCCAGATGGTGAATTTAGAAAGAAACTATTCAGAATTCTGGTGGGTTTTTTTTAAGCTCTTTCCCAGGAGTAAATTCCCTCATGATCAACATGATGATGGAATTAGAGACAGAGAGAGAGAGAGAGAGAGAGAGAGAGAGAGAGAGAGAGAGAGAGAGAAGAGAGGGGGGTGAGAGAGAGAGAGACAGAGAGAGAGAGAGAGAGAGAGAGAGAGAGAGAGAGAGAGAGAGAGAGAGAGAGAGAGAGAAGGGGTGAGAGAGAGAGAGAGAGAGAGAGACATTTGTTGGACATTTGCCCATTCAGAACTAAGGTTCCAATTCCACCAATAGTCCTAGGAGCTAAGCAGGGGCCCACTGAAAACCAACATCATGTACCAGCACCAACTACCTAATTTGTTTCTGAAGACTGTTTTGTTTTTCTTTAAGTAATTAAATGCTGAAAAGTGGTGGGGATGCATTCTGGCCATATGTAAGAGTAAAGGACAATCTTCTCTTTTGTTTCTCTTAAAAACATTTTTATCCTTAATCATAAATTGGGTAAGATTAAAGAGCCAAATTAAATAAGAATTGAGAGTAGAGATCAACCGATGATACACAAAGTTTCATGGTGGAAAATTTTTAGATACAGGTAAATATATAAGATCTAGCTATCTAGTAGGAGGGGATAGTATCAAGATACTGAGAACAGTAACAGAACTAAGTGATGCATTTCTACACCTCTTCCCTTGAAATTATTAGGCTTTAAACAATGCTAACTAGCAAGGATTTTATTCTTCCTTGTATCAGAGAGCCAACAGGGATGTGTTCAGTGGGTCTGAATCAGAGTAAAGGATGCAGTCAAAGAAATGTACAATTAAAAAACATGACTGGTTAAGTCATATGGCAAAAGTAAGGGATAACTAGTGGATAGCTTATCTGCTTTCCCCTGTATCTTCTTACTACCAAGAGAAACAAAAAGAAGCTCCTGATGTATCAAACAGACTTGCTACGGAGAATTTCAATCAACAAGCATTTATTAAGCACCTGGCATGTGTGAGGCACTCCCCTAGGTACTGAGGATACAAATATACTAAGAATGAAACAATTCTTACTCCAAGAGCTTACATCTAATAGGCAAGCTTACATTCTAACCTGTAGAATGATGTGCACAAGAATTGCTAAGGATGGGCAGGCATGGATGAATAGCAACGTGCATCACTGCAAGGAACACCCACAGCAATGAGCCCACAGTTCTTTTTGAATATTTCAATATTGCCTCTGTGAAAAAACCAATGCTAGCTAGAGCAGTCAACAGATATATACAATCCTAAAAATGCTTCCTACCTCAAGGCCCATCTAAGACAACTGAGAAAACAGGCAGCATGTATTATAATTACCCACCTCATTACTGTCAATAAACATTGAGTGAAGGCCTAGCTGCTCCTCACTGTACTCACTGCATCATTGCCACACACAAAGAATCATTCTTCAAAATGCCTAATACTTGCATGATGAAAGTGTTACCCAAGTTAATTCATTCTTGGTATATTTCATTTTTGTTTAAAATTTCACATCTGCTAAAGCTCATTCCCAGCACTTCATCACGGTATAGAGGTGACCACGGACTCTCAGAATTTATGAAAGTAGGCTTGGGTAAATGCTAACATGGTAGAAAAGCTTCCTGGATCCTCTTCCCGGCTATGCTTCCATGATTCAAGAACTAGCTTAATCAAGTTGACAAAGGCTCATGAGCAGAAAGTTTGCTATTGAGCAATGGCTTTTCTTTTTTTCTTTTTGTAGCCAAAGGAATTTATGAAGACCTTCTACCAAGGGACAGAAAGGTCCCTGACCTGTGTCTATAGAAAGAACACTAACAATAATGGAAAAAAAAAAGACTCTTGGAAGCAGTGAAGAACAGCCATAAAATGGACATATCCACTGAGGAAGTCAATACATAATTTTTTAAATCACCCTCCTCCAACTCTTAGTCTGAAAATTGCTAGAGGTTTGAGGGAGAGGACTATGTCACAGAATTCAATAGTAATAGTAAAATGATTACAAATATTAATTGCATTCCTATTGAAACAAATCAAACCACTTATTGAAGAAAATGGGCTAAAATCAGGTATCACTGTGAGGATCTGAAAATGCTTTTAGTTTAACAGTAAAAGTACATACACACACAGAAACATTTTTTTTTATTGAGATCAGAATATAATTTTCAAGATGAAATTTGTTTTTACTTTCCAGGAAGTCATGCTTAATTCCTTCCTCTTCACCTCACCCCTATTATGACAAAAATGACTTCTAAACACAATTTGAAGAAGGCAGAAGATCTATCTTGCTATTCCATGGGCAAGACTGAGCTGATGAATGTGAAATGTCATTGTCAAATCTTATTCTCAAATATCAAACACCAGTATCAAAAGATAAGATCCACAAGTAACTTGAGTGTTTCTGGAATTATGTGTAAAATCCTATTCTGTGTTTTAGGATTTTTTTTGAGAGATAGAGAGAGTCATGGAACAGATAACCTTAAAAGTAATGTAATCTTGGTTGCATAGTACTAATGTTCTTTACTATCATATCAGACACAAGCTGCCTCATCTTAATTTCCGATGTTAAAAAATATTTATCTAGATACAAAAATAAACCCATTGCAAATTACAAGTTGTCAGGGTTAAAAATCTACTCCTGTTTGTGTGGGGGAGGATAAGAGAACAGCATAGACATGAATCATTCTCAGTAATTTGAGTGTTTCCATGACATCAATGGGCACTCGTCCAGGACTCTGTCGAAGTCTGTGAGGTACCAAAGAGGCAGAGCAGCCAGCAGGAGATTGGGAGATTGACTTTTTTTTTTTTAAAGGATTATGCTCCTTGTAAAGATTTCATCTGTAGCATCCACTTTTACCATCAAACAGATAACTCTGGAGATCATGAGTGAACACATTTCATTCTGATAGTGTAAGCCTTTAACTTTATTACATCTTTTTTGTTCCCAAATTCAACTATAAATCTGCCTTCAGAATGAAAACCCTTGTTTGGGAGCAAAATAATCAGTGCTTGTGGAAAAAGCCCAGGGACCATCTCAAGTATATATATACATATATATATGTCTATTTTCACCATCATTTCTGATGATGAAATAAGCAAATACTTTTAAATGACACTTCATTTTCCAGAAAAAAAATCTTTTGTATAAATTCTCTATTAAAAATTAGCTATGCTCTTGATGTTGATTTTCTGCTTAAAATTCACTGGAATATTTGTTTCAGATAATAAAATTTGCAAGACTGCTGATAATATGCTAGAATAGGCTCTTTAAGTAACTATTTGTGCTCACTAACACAAAAGCTCCTAATTTCTACATTTACTGTATATGTTAGACATGGATTTTAGTCACTTGTATGGAACAATCTGGAATGGTCAGACCCTTTCCTCCCCAACCCCACCCCTAAAATGAGGTTTGCAATAGCAGAGGATTCTATTTTCCAGTGTTTGAAAAAGATAGTAGAGAGTGATGTACCAACCCGACGCATTCACTGCGGAATTTTCGAGACAACCCTCCAGTACTAGAATGCGACAGCCGCTGCGGATATTTTTTGGCACAAAGACAATGGTGGCAGTGCCAAGCCCCATGGCTAAAACTACTCAAAAGAGGCATAAGGGTAGCATTAATCGCTCAAGTCTTTTACTGCATGGCGTACTGTTGTCCATATTTTAAAAACTAAAAGTACCCGTTAGTAATATTTGTTATATGCCAAAAAATGGTATGAAATACATACCGGGAACAAATCTTGTCAGATATTTGATTCATTTTCATACCAAGAGGACCAAATGTTAAAAATTGCTGCTAGTTGCCATTTCCTGCTATAATGGTACATGGGAAACAAATGATAGAATCTCATGTAGCTTTTTGGATTGAAGACTGAGTGAAAGCTATAGAGCAAATTTCATAAATGATGTCAACATATTGCTTAAACAACCTTTTCCACAAAAGGGACATATATAAAAAACATATCATGATTTGAAAATTTTAACAATTACAATATTTTAAGACAGCAGCTTTAACTTACATCAATAAATCGATCAAGAGACAAAAGAGATCTACATGAAACCTCTCCTCTAGAACATATCTAGTAGCTATGGTGTGAATATTATCCACAGAACCACCATATAGTTTATTTAAATAAAACTCAAAGGATCAGCTAAAATCCAAAATATCCTTTTTTATTTTCATTTCACTGTAAAAAGGGACACCAACTGACAATCAATAAAAAGGTCACTTGCTTCTCAATAGTGCCCTTTGAAAAATTAATCTAATTAAGTAGAAAATATAAGCTACTTCCAAAACAAAAATTTTCTCCCTAGCTATACATTTACTACTGTTCTTATTTTCCTCCAGTAATGGAAAGAAGCTATATATTTTTCTTAAATTAGGAAAAATGGTGTAAGTCAAATGAATTTAATGTTTATAGTAAATTAAGTATTTTTTTCAATATTTATGTATAATTTTGTACTATTTTCACTTATTACTTACACATTATCAAGGTATTCCTATGGCAAGAAAACCTAT